TTTTTTTTTTTTTTTTTTGCGGTGCCTTGGCTCCACAATTCATCTTTGTGCTCTGGACTGCAGTGTATTGATTTGCTGTGCAAGCCTGCTAAGTTAGAGAGCCTCTGGCCAATCAGAGGACAAGTCCTCCATGCCTTTCTGCTTTCAAAACAGCTGAAGTAGTAATAAAGATGAATACAGGGTTTCAGGCTGAGCTGAGCTGTCAGCTGAAGCCCTGCAGCCGCAGTAGTGGTAGTGGTAGTAGTAGTAGTAGTGATATCAGTACTACAAGTTACAGTGGGTGCTAAGTGGTGGTGTGGTGTTCTACTTGCACAGATCATCTCTTTACTAAAATCTGTACCTTTATAGTGAAATGTGAGCTTGCAAATAACAAAGCTTCCCTCCACTTCAGGGGAATCCTTTATCATCTCCGGTGTTACAAAATACTGATGGAAGAGAAACAAAAGGATACAACAGAAAGCAGTTGCTTAAAGAACTGTGGGTCAAAACTTCCCCGGTTTAAATGTGCTGAAGAGGAAAGTTTCCACTGAAACCAGGGACTGGGAAAGATTTTATGCAGTGGCATATCTGTTTGAAATATGAGTTTTCTTCCATTTTCCAGTTAACATATTAAATATATAGCAGGCCACCCTTGTGCTTGCTGTTAGATAACATAATAAACATCAGTAACAAGGTAGAGTATTTGTACTTCTAAAGAGTGGCATTACAGTCCATTAACAGATGGAGTTAAAGAGCTTGCTTATCAGGCTTTTACTCACAGAAGACTTGCACTATTATTTTACTTTGGGTCAAGAAGTCCTTTATTGAATTAGCAATGCAAATGTGTGTTACTTTATGCGTGTGGAATTTGAATGTGTTGAACAGCCTCCCTCTAAAGCACTTGGGGCTTTTTTACAGATTTACTGTAGGCAAGAGTTCCAACTTGTACTTTGAATGTTTCTTTTTGTTTGTTTTATCCACTATAAAGACATCTGTTGTACATGGCTCTCTACCCTGGCCTCTATTCAGTTTCCACTGACTTCCATGAACTCCATTACAAAACCCAAGCGCACCACTCTCTTTGCACCCTTCTTCATGTGATTCTTGAATACAGATCTGTGACATGCAGTAAAACAGAAGGATGGTAATCTCTCTTGCCACAAAGCATGATAAAGCCATTAAAGAGGAATAATAGCCATCCTGAGCAAAGTACACACCCTCGTGACTGTTGCTCCATAGCTGATTGACAGTGGTGAGTATAAGAAACCATGCTATAATAGTTTAAAAATAAGGAAACCTGAGACAAAGACCTTTATCAGTTCTAAAAACAGAGTTATCTTTTCCATACAGTATTGGCACTAGCCTGTCTAATGCGCTGCCTTTGCCTATTGTTAACCAACTAAAATGATCAGTGGTAGTCAAAGGGGAAGGGAGCTGGGCATGAAATAGGAGCTTGACTTCTGACATTTGCCAATCCTGTTCATTAAAGAACTGGCCCAAAGTCAAAAGTGCCATGTTGTTATTGTCTGACCAGGCTTTCGTACAGCTTTCTGGGTGTTCTGCAATAAAGCATTTTGATCTGACAGATGTAATAATAAATACTGTAGCCCAGCTGCCAGTTTGGCCTGGCAAGGTTATTCATAAGTCTTAACTAGGGGTGTTTGCTTTAATGAAAAATGTTAACGGAAGAATAGTTTGCACATGAGATACTCTCTCTAGCAAAGGGGGTTTTTGGGGGGGGGGTTGTTTTTTTTTAATAGTATATGTAGGATTTGCGGTGGACTGCCTTTTGGATCCCCAGAACTCAAATGGTGAGTGTAGGATTGTGACATGTTTGTAGCTACTTAGTGGTCTGTACTGCATAATAAGACTGTTTGAAACTTCCAGGCAGCAGCAAGGAGCTTACTCAGAAGTAAGGCTTCTAGCCCTACTATGGGACTGGCTGATTCCAGTTCCATCTTGCAGAAGGCAGCGGTATACACGCATGTACCCAGTGTGTGACTGTACTGTGGTCAACTCTTGACTACTACAGCAATATCTGTACACAGGGGATCTCTCTTCAAAACATGTTCACAATGAATTGGCAGGGAAGAAAACACTGCTAATGCAGGGTGGAAGGGAATCTTTGTTTTTCTTTCCTCCTGGTAACTGTTAGTCAGCCTGAGAGGTCCAAGCTGTTTGCTCAGCTGGGAAAGCCCCAGTAACAATGAACCAACATATCCAAAGAGCTGGTCCCAAAGAAGGAACATTATGACAGCCACACAAAACAGCATGATATATCTTCCCCCCTTTCTTATTAAGGATAACATTTGGAAACATTTCAGAGTGAAATAACACAATAGGGAGAAAGACAAGGAGGTAAAGTTATGACTAACTGCTGCTATTGATGCTGAGCAGTGAAGTGCCCTATGCCCTTCTATCGCCCACAGCAATTGCCCATCATTACTGAAAAACCTGGGACAGAAGAAGCAGGAGGGTAAAACTGCAGGTGGCAGAAATGTGGTCTGATGTTAGTTGGGATGCAAGGAAAAGCACAGGTTCAGGGGGGACCTGGTGTCTGCCTATAAATACATAAGGGGTGTGCATCAGGATCTGGGGGAACGTCTGTTCACCAGAGCACCCCGAGGGATAACAAGGACCAACAGTCACAAACTCCTCCAAGACCATTTTAGGCTGGACATAAGGAAAAATTTCTTTACTGTCAGAGCCCCCAAGGGCTGGAATAGACTCCCTCCAGAAGTGGTGCAGGCACCTACTCTTGGACTCATTCAAGAAATGTCTGGATGCTTATCTTCCTGGGGTCGTTTGACCCTAGCTGACTTCCTGCCCCTGGGGCAGGGGGCTGGACTTGATGATCTTCAAGGTCCCTTCCAGCCCTAACATCTATGAATCTATGAATTTCTACAAATCCATGCCACTGTCATAAGGGAGACCATAGGTCCCCACTTCTAGATTGCCTCCACCCAACCCTAGAATATGGCACCTATCACCGTAAAGTACTATCTTATTTTACTAAAACTCCAACTGATCCGAAATGCAGCAGGCGATCTCCTTAATAGAAACATTGTTAAAAATGTGACTCCAGTGCTCTCTGCACTAGCTCCTCACTGGACTGAATCCAGTTGAAGGTTTTAGTGTTGAAACTGAAAGATCTCTCAGGGAATGGCCTCAGCTGCCTGTGAGTTTACATATTCCTCCAGGACCACAAGCATGGCCTCCTCTCACCACTACATTTCACTGTGTCCAAGAGGTGGACCTTTCCCAGAAGCTGGATGTGACTAGGGAATGTACTTCTGCAAGGGACAAAAATAACCACTAGACGTAATCATTTTTGGGAATAGATGTCAAACTCGATCCTGTGTCTTCCTCTCTATAAGTTATATGTATATGCTATAATTAAGCTATTTTTCCCGTAGGCTGGTAAGGAAAGAAGAGAAGGAGCAATTGTTATTGTTATTTTATATGCCTGAGAGCTGCTCAGCCATTACAATAAAGAAAGTCATAAATTACCTAGGCAGACATGTTTTGAGATGCAGCTTGAAGTGCGATGGACAGTTGGTGCCCCAGAGAAATACAGGAAAGGTACCCTAGGCAGTAGAAGCTGTGCAGAAGAAGGCTTTCTCACTAAGAACAGGTGAGGCTGTGTGTGGACAAAAATGGAAGTTGGCTATACATCCATAGATTAACTCATCTTGATGTAGGAGGAATCCTCACAACATTTGGGACATACAGAAAACCGGTGAAGGGAATTCGCATATACCCCTCTGCCTGATGGTTATTTCAGCAAAAGAGATTCAGAGGTTTGGTCTGTAGGGCATTTTCTGTAACGTTCCTCCTAAAAGAAGTTCACCGAACCACGTTTGAGAGGGTGGGGTAAATTTGTACTGCAGGCTGAGGTGAAATGGCCACACAGCTCCCAGGAATGTTAATAGGGGATTTGTAGCATAGCCCTCATGCCTGATGCATGACAAAGTTTGTGTATGGATCCATGGCTCTATTGGGACATGGAGTCCTGGTGGGTGAATTTTTGGGGGCAAGCTGCTGAAATAAAATGTTGTGCTTCTTGGCCACAAAACTCACGTCTGCGGAACAGCAACACTCTCTTTTAGATTCTGTGCAGACTTCTTGCTGGTGCATTGCATTAATATTAAATTAACAACACGCTACTCACATGGAACTTACAGTCTAAAAAAAGCTCACATTATGCTGTAAGCCTTTTATTACAAAATAATAGCAGTCGTGAGGTTAAAGTTTGTTCATACAGTTTTCTATAGAACATCTGTACATTTTTATGGGGGATGAAAGCAAGGTTCCATGTGTAGCTTAGTCATAGGAATATAGATAATGAATAGTTTGTTGAATTTTCCTTTTGTTTTTAATATTCACTTACATTCATAGAGAGGCTTTCCATGTAAAGCATACCAGATCATTTTTGAGAGAGCTTTGATTTCTATAATTCTAATGTTTCTGTTGGCATTCTGCAGAGATTGTATGCCTGATATGAAAGGGACTCAGGCCTTCAGGATGTTGCTTGTAACTGGAGGCACAACTCAGAAGGGCTCTGAAGTGGACTGTGGTCTGCATTTGAGATAGGAAAGAAGAACCAGTGGATCCATGTGAAGCAAGACCTTGAAAAGCTTTATTAGGACCAGATTCACTGAGAATATTAACCAGCATCCATGGAACCATGAAAGCTCACGTAGACTTCAAAATCCAAATAATTCAGGGCTTTTGTGGCCTTCCATGATACAGAAGCTGGGCAGAAATTTTTTTAATTGAATCTGGCACTAAATAAGCAAAAGAATTGTATAATCAGTGCTTGGTTTAATAGGAAGCCAGGGAAGCTCTTTAATATTAGAGTGATACGATGGAAAAGTATAGTCCTAGATAAAGTCCTGGCAGCTGAGCCTGGCAGAAATTTGCCTGCAAGCAAAACTAGCGGGGAGTCCAAAAAACAGGGTATTGTACTAATTAACTTGGACAAAACAAGAATATGTACCAGAATCTCAACATCTTGTCAAAAAAACATATACTATACCTCAGTCTGCAAACGCTGTGAGAATGCCTAATGCAGTATCTTAACAGTAGCACACACACTCATGCACACCTCTCCACCCTCCAACACTCTCCTCTTTACTCAGAGGGCAAGCCTATTGAGAAAGCCTTGAACCCCTGATTTTTTCCTTATTTGATTCCTGTTTTTTAGAGCCCTTGCATTGTGCAAGTACTTTACCTCACTGTTGAGTAAGTGCTGGACACAGTTCCAGAAATCCTCAGTACCCTTCCAGGAGTAAGCTACCAGTGGAGGTTACTAGAAAGTAGTAGAGGTACCTCTGTTTCCTGTCAGACTGATAACTTGGCTTTAAGCAGGGATCCTGGAATAGTTGTGCCAAAAGATTAACAACTCAGTTCTGGTGTGCACAAGTCACTGGGGCCAGAACCATTAATTATATGATCATTATATAAGGACCTGCACTCAAAAATGACTCCATCACTATGAACACAGAAACCTAAAGGAGCCACGGGACAAGGGAGGCAATCCATCAGGCAGGAGTCTCAAGTACTGTCGTCACATGCAACATTTGTATGCAACATGGAATGTTTCTTCTTTTGTATGATAAAAATCCTGTCCGTATTTTATCTTTGTGTGCTTTGGCATTTTTGTGGATCTGGGAGCTCTTGACCATCAGAGGGATTGCTACATGGAAATGGCTCTCATTGATCCCCATGGAATATTTAAAGAAAGCACAGAATTCCAGGGATGACAATGTAAATGCCATTAGATCAGCTCCAGCTTTGGGGATTTCTGGAAGAGTAGACAAATGAATCTAGGTATATTCTGAATACATCAGATAACTGAACCCAGACATGATGGTGAGGTCACCCAAGGGAGCATGTAGGCATTTCAACAAACAGAGCATATATTGTACACCGAAATCAAAGTTATCTAATAATGACTACCCTGCAGCTAAATGGATGCTTTTTTTCCACAGCTGAATCCTCAGAAGGATGATGTAGTGTTTGTTCACTCATTGTCATATGCCTAGTTAAAACAATCAAGATGTGAAAAAAAGAGAGATTAAACAACATGGTTATTTTGGGTGCTTTGGCCAACCTTGTACACAATGAAGTCATAGGAAGAATGGGGCTCTACCTTTCTGTTTGTGACTGGCTGTGTACTGGTTAAAACTGTGGTCCTGGGTACTGTTCCTGGTTCCTGGGGATGCTGGATAGTGCCTGTAGTTATTCTGATTTTATTTCATTACGGGTTTAAAACCTGGACTAGATTTTCTGAAAGGTCAATACACTGTCAGAACAAACCTGGGTCCGTCTCTGAGTCAGCCTGGGTGGCGTAATAGCTCCATGTCGTGTCCTCATAGATCTGAGGTCTGGACATGAAATTAGATAAAACATGATGCTGTCACCTGAATGGAGCAGGTATATAACACATGGTATACAGAAGCCCACAGCATGGCTTATTTGGGGAGGAGAAAATCCCTGCATAAAACAGCTGGAGGGCTGCATAAATTCTAATTTGTTTCCTTCACAACAACTTATTGAGTAGGAGGAACAGTCATCCAACCCATGACTCCTACACACAGTGGTGCAGGTAAGGCTTGTGGCCATTCTAATTGTAAGATATCCCAAGATTTGTGGGGCAGTCCCTTGGAGAACAGGCCCAAGGTTTATTGCGGGGGTTCAGTACTTCCTTGCTCCTGTTGTGGACCCAATCAAGCTCCCCTTGCTGGACACTCACCAGACTGTTGTGTTTAGGTCCCAGACCTACGTGCTTTATTTTTTTTTAAGTGTCTCTGGGGCTATATGCACACAACTGAATTACCGCAAGGGTGTGACTTTACCCTGCGCTGGCCACTCTGGTAATTTCATGCCTGAATGCCTTTATGCTGCAGTAAACGTGCAGCAGTTAACCCCTAAATTAACCCCTCTTGTTGGTTCCGTAATTTCTTATGAGTGGGATATGTGACGTGCAAAGGCCTAATGGCAAATTTTGGTGCCGTGAGCTGGGGGGAAGTCTTACTAGAAGCTCAAAAGACACCGGCTGCTGCTGCTGGCACAGCGCAGTATCCCCTCACAGTATGGAGGCTGCTGCCACCACTGTTGCTGCTGCATGGGCTGTCCGCACACCAGCATAGGTACTGCTATTGTTATGGTTGTTGATGCCTCAGGCACTCAAGCACTTGCAGCCATTCCTGCTGCTGCTGCTGTACCAGCTCTCTAGGGGCTGTCATTCTAGTGTACCCTCTAAATCGGCTCCTGAGGGGGCTCACCCCTAGCTACACTCCTGATGATATGTGACAGGGCCCTCCTTGGCCCATGGGTGATTTATTATGCACTGAGGATTGGCATTACATATAGAATTCATAATATTAACTGGAATTCAGATTATTATTGCTCCTTCCTCCCAGAGTACTTGAAGAGTGCCCTGCTTGCGTATCTCCCTCGAGACCATCTATCAGAGATGGTTTGTGTGATATAGAGAAGGGAAGGCCACAGTGTTGGGTGGGGGGATCAGCATTACTTCACCCACACCCTTAGAAGTTGCCCAGCCTTTGTACCTAGGACAAGAGTTGCACTGGCGTTCTGCAGCTCACCCTGGTGAGTTCTGAGGGGGGAAGTCCCCACTCCCAGGACCCCAAGACAAGCACTGATGGGTCTCCTCCTCCCTGCTCCCTGTCAGACCCCACTACTAGTCCGCCCAATGGTCCCACACCAGAAGGGGTCAGGGTGGGATCCCCGGACCAACAATCTGATCTTGTCGGGGATCCCACGAAGACCACCCTGGGTTCTAGCTCTGCCCTGCCATCTTGTGAGGAAACCCCACCCCCACCCCCATCCCAAGGGGCTGCAAAGCTCTCCCAATCCCAGCCAGAGTCCGCTGTCTTAGCGGACTGTGGGGGTTGAACCCCAGGACCAGGTGGAGGATGCCCAAGAACCAGCAGGCTCCATGGAGCCTGCGAACCTCTCGATCCTGGCAATCCCCAGGGGCAAGCTACTTGCATTTCTTGACTGTGAGTACACTCGGCTGTCCACCAGCAAGGTACAGCTTGCCTTGGACTGCTGGGGAGATTTTGACGGTGTCCTCACCATGCTGATGCTCCTGCCAAAGAGTGGGGATCCCCACAACCTGAGGAACTGGCATCCCGTTTCCCTCCTCACAAGGTGGCAATGAAGTCCATCTTGCTGTGCCTGTGGTCCATGCTGACAGAAGTGATCCATCCTGACCAGCTGTACACTGTGCCGGGACATTTCATCTTCAACAACCTGTACCTGGTTTGGGACTTCCTGGAGCTAGCACACTGGGAGGGCCTGTCTTTTGCCCTCCTATCCCTGGACCAGGAGAAGGCAATTGACAGAGTGGGTCATGGGTATCTCACAGCCAGGTTGTAGGCCTTTGGCTTTAAGCCCCACTTCATGCAGGCTCTCCTGGTGCTGTACACCTCTGCAGAGTGTTTGGTCAAGCTCAGTTGGACCCTGATGGAGCTCATCCTGTTCAGGAGACGGGGGTGTCAAGGCTGCCTGCTGACAGGCCACCTGTATGCCTTGGCCCTGAAGCCCTTCCTCATTCTCCTGCAGAGGCAGGTGGCAGAGTTGATGCTCCGGGAGCCAGTGGTGTGGCTGGTCCTGTCATTGTATGCTGACAATGTAACTCCTTGCGGTCCAGGACTTAGGCAGCCTGCTGCAGGTGGAGGCCTGCCAGGTATTGTACGCAGTGGTCTTCTCTGCTCAGGTCAACTGGGTCAAGAGCTTTGGCCTGGTGGTGGGTGATGGGTGGCAGGTTGGCTCACTCCCACCCGCACTCCATGGGATCTGCTGGAGCGTGGGCTTGCTGATATACTAGGGGGTCTACCTGTCCCCCAGAGACCCCTCCCTGCCAGAGAACTGGCACCAGCTACAGGCAAGGGTGGTGGAGCAGCACTGGGCATGGTCAGTACCCCTGAGGTGTCTCTCCCTGTGTGGGAGAGTGCTGGTGCTGAACCAGCTGGTCCTGTCCATGCTCTGGTACCACTTACACACCCTGCCTGTGTCCCCTGAGGTCCTGGCAGGGCTCCAGAGACATAAGCTGGAGTTTTTCTAGCCAAGATGGCACTGCGTTGCTGCAGAAGTCCTGAGCCTCCCTTTGTGGGAGGGCAGCCAGGGCCTGGTTTGCCTACACATCCAGGTCCTGATGTTCCGCCTTCAGGCCCTGCAGCGACTGCTATATGGTGTCAGTAGCCACGCGACATGGGGCCACCTGGGGCATGCCTTCCTCCTGCACTTCCAGGGGCTCTGATACAACTGGCAGCTCCTGAGCCTGTGGGGTTTCTCCTTGCAGGACCTGCGAGGGCTGCCAGAGTTCTACCAGGACCTCCTCTGGGCCTGGAGGCTGGTCTCTGCCTCCAGGTCTCCTGCCACAGTCGCCCACGGTACCGACCTGCTCATTGAGCCCCTCCTCTGGAACCCCCAGCTGGAGGTACTGACAACAGAGGGGCCCCGGTTCTGACAGGTTGATCCTGGCTGGTGTCACCCATATCGGAGATCTCCTGGACTATGATAGGCAGAAGTAGGTGGACCCCACTGTACTGGCCTGGCACATGGGTCTACCCGTGACACATGCGACCTGCCATCTGGTCCAGGAGGTGAAATCTGCTCTATCTCCTGATGCCCTTGCCTTTGTTGACCAGGTCCTGTGTGGTGGCGGTCCCCGCACCCCCATGTCCTCCAGCTCACTGGAGTTTGTCGTGGGGCTGGCGCCTTGCCCAGCCTCGTAGCACTCCCTACTGAGCCAGCTGGAGGACACCAGACCAGTCCGCTTTTCCACCATCCATCGCCACCACCTTTACACACTTATGCACACCATGATCCATCATGCTGCCCTCGCGTCCTGCCCAGACACCAAGTGGCAGGAACTGCTTGGCAAGGGTGTGGCTGGGGCACCCCAGTGGCTCAGTCTGTACTCCACCCTCATCCCATGAGCCACTGGAGACCTAAGCTGGTGGCTCCTCCATGGAGCCATTGCCATGGACGTGTATGTGGCAAGCTTCACAGACACCCCAGTCTCCTGACCCTTCTGCAGGCAGAGGGAGATCCTGGTGCACATGACCCTTGAGTGTGCCAGGCTGCAGCCCCTCCACCTCCATCTCCACCTCCAGAACCTCCTCTTGAGGTTCTGGTTGAACTTCACACTCACCTTTTTATTTTTGGGCACCCGATCCATGGGCCC